TATTAAGCTCTTTATGTAGTAAATCTGACAAAACTTCAAATGTTTCAACGTGATTATAGTTGTTGAGTTGGATCATGTGAATGATATATCTTAATATAAAAGAAGAAAAATCTATATTATATTATAATTTCTTCATATTTAATGGACTTAAATCAAACAAACTTTTAAAAAAGTATATAGTAAGGTACTAAATAATTGGAAATTGTTGAACAACTAATTCTTTTTTATAAAAATGAACTAAAATAACTTTTAAGTGAAAATACAAACGTAAAAACAAAATGTTTTGGCAGAAAAATATGATCGTTTAATTAATAGTAATTAGAAATTTATATCATGATGAAGTGATGTTAGGTGAATCCATAATCTTACATGAAGTAGAAATGAAGATTTTCAGATCTAAAAATGAATATGATGCTAAGTTTGAATCGAATAGGTATCATTATCAAACTTGATCAATATGTAATATATAGAGACGTTTTTCTTGATTAATGAATAATTGGGTCATCTTTCGCTCATTTGTTTTAATAGAATAAGGTTTCGTATTAGAATTACAGAAAATTCACTTCTAAATATACGGTCACTAATCCTTATTTGAATAGAATTTATTTCGTATAAAACTGACATTATTTAGAGGACAATATGTAAAGACATAACTAAATTTATCGAAAATACATGATTACTTAAAGCTAAAAATAGATGAATGTATAAAAATTAGAAAATAAACAAACTAGAAAACGATAAACACAATTCATTTCCATATGATTGTCCAAAATATATGATAAATAAACAAGCTGACATAACCAATAGAAACGCATGAACTCATAGAAAGACAACAAATAATCATATATATGTATAAAGGGAGAGAGAGCAGTGTTTTTTACTACAAGTGCTCAACGCTTGGTTAGGCATTTAAGCATAAAAATAAGCAGGAAATTGCAACAAATCAGTAGAGCAAAAGTATGCAACTAATTCCTAAAACTCTTGTATAACACGTAATATCCCAACATGCACATATGTCTACTTATATATATATATATATATATATACATATATATATATATATATATATATATATATATATATATATATGAAACGCTATTAGTATACGACCTCAAGCGCGACTACTTATAATGAATGACATAGAAAGAAGAGAGAAAATTATTTTATTATTTAATATATTGTTTTAACACGATTATTTCTATTAAAATAAATCACAAATAAACAGAACAATATATGTGCATAAATTCTAAGTGAAATACTTGTAAGTTGAGCTATTCATTCATTACTAAAGAGTTCTAAGTATAAATGCGAATATTGATAACCATATGAGCGAAAGTATAAATTATGGACGAGCCAATCAGATTTAGGATTAGAGGTATCGAATTTTGGCGCGAAACTCAATCATTCATTTGGCTAAATAGAGTATTGACCTTATAGCTGATGTCAGTTCGTGATGAAAACCATAAATGAAATTCCTAACCCTAACCATCAATTGTAAATCATAATCTTTATTCTTCACACTACTTCATAACCCCCATTTAATCCTAATAAGTAGGTGGACATTCCCAAGGTCACCTCGGCGTCGCTCAAAGGTCGCCCATAAATTATAGTCTCACCACCATATGTTATACAAACAATATCATTATAGCATAAATAATATTTTTCAGTAAGTCATGACTATGTTAATTCAACGACCTTGTACGAAACTTATCAACAATAAAAATTATTCCATATTAGAGGTATGTTGTAATTAGTTACAAAAAAAATATATTTCAAGTAAATAATGTTACTTCCAATTATTCCTCTGTGGATATATTTGACAAGCCAACTTTAAATTTTTTATTGAAAAAGAAGACAGATGAATGTTGGAAATTATCTTAGATTATAGTATATGTTCACCATTAGAAGTTGATAGACATTATTATCAAGGCTTGGTTTGATAATTTTAAATAAATTGAGCATTGGGTGGATTGTTATCAATAAAAATTGACCTGGTCAAACCTGTTTTTGATTGATCACAACTAATATTCTTGCTATGTTCCTTCGTACTATTTAAACTTGGATTAATTTAATTTGGTTATTTATTCTCAGAAAAACTGGCTTACACTGAGTCACTAAATGTCAGAAAATTTAAGTTTTCTACTCATTGAGATATTACAATTATAGTATTTTTATTTATAATAGAAGTTAAAACTTAAAGAAAAACATCAAAGATTCTCAATGATGGTCCAGCATTGATCGCTTCATGGTTTTAATGAAAAATATTGATTAGATTAACAAAATACAACAACTACTCAAGGTGTACACTCAGTTATTGAAATTCATAGCTAGTATAACAATAAGGGTTAATCAACTAATTTCTAAAAATAGAAATACACCTATATTGCCTATTTGAAGCAGATGTTAATGGTATTGTTTATAAGGACTATGGAAACTTTACAATCAAGGTAACCAAGGAAATACACAATACATTAAAATGATATTTCTACATTAACTTTCAAGTTAAGAATCAATTTTACTTCAGTATATTTAGTAAGTATTCATTATGTGGTAGGCAAGACTAGATCATTTATCATATTCTGTATCATCTTGTCAATAATTTTCAAACTCAACTAATAAATACTTCATTTAATAATGCTAGTTTTTATACGCGAGAAAATTTTCAAGTATACTTGATTGTTTTCAAGCACCAGAAAAAAGATGTTAATAAACAGGGTTTTTTATCTTTTATAGTTTACATCATTTTATTTCTTTTTTCCCAAATACTTTTGTATTTAGACTTCAAGCATCTATACATCACATTTTTTCGTATTATGTAACTTTTATTGATTTTTTTCTGAGTAAATGTAATGTAATAAACAACCTTTTTTATGCCTATCAGTGTTTTCAATAAATAGAATTACAGCTAGTCTTTAGTTAGTTTAGCGTGAATGTAATCTAAAGGCCTATTATATATATTTGTCCATGAGTTTTGCTTCTAATTCAGTTAACTAGTTCTAGTTTTAAAGGAACAAGTTAGATAATTGTCTGATTTATCAGACACAAAAAATACTAACATTTTCAGTCAAACAATTAATATTACATTCTGACATTTTGATATGTCTGACATGATATCATTCACAAAGTGTATTAGTTAAACGAATAACGATCGCGAAATGTTACACAGAATTTTGTACTTTAACTCATACCATCCCAGCTATCAACCAACTACCATAGTAAACAACAAGATATCTTGTTATATGTATACGATATTCTTTCTTTTTTCCCTCTCCTCCCATTTATGCTACGCATTGACCACCTTAAAGAGTTAATAGCAATAACGTCCATCGTGCTTTATTTTATTTTATTCTAAGTCCAGTTTTGTCATCCTTTTACACCGCTTGTACCATTTCAACTGTATTTTTTATACTAAACGTGTAAGTTGGTAAGTAGAGCATTTCAAATCCCATTGTACATTTTAAAAGCATTTCCTTTTTAATCTCTCTCTACCTACATTGTACTAACACTAAGAAAGAACTTAATAGATTTAAGGAAAATCAACTAATAAGAAGTTATTCTGACCACAAAAAACTGACATCAACTCAATCGTATTATCATATTAAATTCAGTCTGTGAGATTAGAACGGCCTAGAATTAATCTTACCTGAGATTGTAGGTGCACAATATCAGTTCTTTGTGAAAATTATTATCATTTAATTATACAATGTTTCCATATAACTGTGTTGGCTCAACAACAAAAAAACGGTAACAATACTATTTCATGCAAACAATTTTTCTTCTAAAATATACATGCTTTGACTTGGGATTATATATACACTTATCAATTTCTACATAATTTATGTATTTTTAGGTGTCTAACATGAAAACCATAAAATACGATAAAGTGAATTACACAAATTGTGAAAACAGAAAAAATAACTACAACAACCAAATAATCATAGTATTAACGACTAACTGGGAAGTGCTGGACAGCTATTTCATTTTGGCATGGGACTCTTGAACAATTCTCACTCACGAACCCACTTAGGATCGAACCCAGCACCTTCAAACTTCGTAGTAAATGTTTAATATCTAGACTTCAATCCAATTATGTACTTGTCTAACTTCTACCCATTTACGATAATACTCATTCAGGTCGCACTGCCTTCAGTGGATAATTGCTACACACCCGACATGGTTGAACTCCATTGGTCACAGTACTAATGAATGAAACGTCAGAAGTCAAAAGATTAAGATATGATTCCGAAACCTAAAAATCTTGTATTTATCCTCGGTGAGGTTGTGGATACACACCCCTGAGAAGCCTCACAGAACAAAAATAGCAGTCCAGTACTTTCTAGTATTCACTGATTACCTAATTAAATCAGTTAGTGATGTAAACTACAAATTTTTCTGACTATCATGTGATAGTTGTGTTTTTGTGTAGTAAATACATCTCTCGAAATGATTTGAAGTATTTAAAATTTCTATACTGATAATGAACTGTAGACTTCAGAACAATAAAACAAGGACGGATTATAAATGAATTATCATTAACAACCATCACAAAACGTAAATGGTTTATTCTGGATAGTAAATTATTAATAAGGTAAGTAACAAAATAAAAATTTCGTCACGGCTATTTAAAAAAGCAATTTACAAATTAAGTACAGATTTATACACGTGACTACTAGCTATATCTGCTGTACATCACCTGATCATACAAATTGTAGGCAACTATAAGTATAAATTGTTGTCTCTTAAATGAAGTTACAAACAGGAAAATGAAACAATTTCACGAAAGTTTGCTTATCCAATATAGATATCTCTGAATTTGATTTTTTTGTAAATACATCTCAGTTAGAAGAAATTCACTTGAAACAAATCTGGATTACAATCAAATGAAGGCAAGATGTAAATACAGATTAAATTTTGTGGAAACAAAATGTTTTGAGAAGTAAAAATTATGTTGATAAAATCTTAGTCTTTTTGAAAAAAAAGTACAATAACAAACTGCTTACTTTTATTTGTTAAATCGATCTCCATATGACTCCATGATCCTGATTTTTGATCGGTTCTCGATCGCCTCATTTTGTGCCCACTACAATTACTGCACAAATTGCACAGTAAACGTATCACTTTTGCGCAATTTTTCTGTATAAACTAGCTATTACTTGTTATTTAATGTCATGGAATGTTGAAATTCTGTTAAATAGCTTAAAAACGATTGGAATGATAGATGACTTGTAATTATTTTGAGAAGTTGTAACTTGTTTTAACCGACATATTATCTGCAATCAAAATTAGAGCAATGAAGTCGAAGTTATCTGTAAAAACAAAACTGACTGCATCGAAAATTATAAACAAATTAAAAAAAACTTTGTACAGTTTGAAGCCGGATTCCCTTAAGAACTTGCATCAGTCGAGGAAAACCACTTAAAAATGGAAAGACACTGAATAACAACACTGTCCTGGTTTCTAGAATCTATGCGCATCGCGTAATCAAAACACCAAACAGGAATTAACTCACAACTAACACGTTTTGTAGTGAATACAGTATATTTAAAGCAGGAAAAATTCAGTTATATTTTAAATTTCAGTCAGCTTGAAAGCTTAGCAAGATTCGTTTCCGATTTCACTGATGAGTCATACTTTATCCTAAACAATTTTTCAACTTACAGGTTGATAAATTTACAGTGAAAATTTGAAAACTCCATCCCAATCTTTATCTGTGTATGCAAATTTTACTGTAAAAATAACTCGTCCATTGAGTCTACGGTATACTAGTAAGACTTTTTAGAGTTTTACACTATCATGCAATACGAAAACAAAGTTCTTAAAATATTTTACCTAAGAACCATAAGGAAGTCAACAGTGATGCTCAATGAAACTTTTTTGATCTAGAAAAGGGTGATTCCTTAAATTGGTATTTAATCCTTTTTTATAACTATTCATATTCTGAATAGTTTAATATAAACTCTCTCAACCAAACAGCTGAGCAGAAGTGGCTTATATTAAGTCACATAACGTCAGAAATATAGCTTTTCTACTCATTGGGACGTAACGAAAAATACATTCATTAACTACTTTCTACCCAACGCTCAATTTATTTAAAACTACCAAGTCCAATCTTGGTACTGATACCTACAAACAAATGAATGTTCTGAACTCGAATCACTAAGTTAGCAACGGCCCTCAAAAACGTCTAGGCATTCAGTATACAAAATCTTTATTATTATTACTATTATTATTATTATTAAGAGTTATATCCATTCACTTGAAGCCTCATTATTTTTGCCTTGAATAATCTAAGTGGTGTCTGTTTTTTATTTGTAAACCTGGAATTGACGATAAAACATAATTTGTACGAAGTTACCGACATCGCTATTAACTATTTAATACAATTACTTTTCCACATAAGAATTATAACTACAGTCAAAAATACAGACACGATTATGCTCGTAAGATCTGAAACGGAATTTCGAAATATAATCATTCATTTATTCGTTCAAAATTATCATATTTTACACACCAAAGTAATGAAACGAAATCATTAAAATAAAAAGACAAATATGTGAAAATAACGTGAAAAGTTACTACACAATACTGGCATAATACAGCTTATAAATACAACCGAAATAGTAAAGCTTTTTGTTGTGGTGTAATACTATAGATATCAAGAACTCTACAGAGGGTAATAGTATTAATCGTAACAAAAAAGAGAAGTAAAAAAAGGAGGAAAAACGTGAAAATAGTGAAACCATGAAAACAGAAACTGATGAAGGATAAGTCATTCATAACGATGGTTGAAAAAGGAATTAAGTGAATATAAGCACCCAAGAAGCATTCACTGTAAATATCTTTAGATTTCTTCTAAATTTTCAATACCGAATCACACTGGAAATATTTTCAACCTACCCACTCAAAACACAAAATAGGCAACGTAAATTTAGTAATATATAGCACTTTAACTGAAACATTTCATACACTACAAATCTTTGACGTGAAAAGACTCAATCCTAACTTTTTCCAATGAAAAATGAAATACGATTTATGCAGGTAATGTTAGTTACTTAGTTGAACTCCAAATATGAGTATACTTTCAACCAGCACTTAGTAAACACCATATCTAAAGTAGAAATGCCAAAGATTTTCACTGATGCAAACATTTATAAAACTATGAATCAAATGCTCGTCATGTAGCATCATAAATGTAGGTATAAGAAAATAGTTGCTCATAAAAGTTTTTTTTTTCTCAATTGAATTAAAGCTAGATTATCCAAAAACAGCAAGAACTTTTACTTTTGAATAATTCATACTCATATCCTGAATGCTTTCAATAAAACTGAAATGTTCATTGATTTTTCAGAGCAGAACACTTCAGAAAGTTAAACTCGATGAAGAAACATTAAGGTATGATTGACATGATCAGTCTTAACAACCGAATATTATAATTACCCTTCTTAATTAGAATGTAGTTCATACTTAGGTATCTGGTAAATGAGTCAATTTAAAAAGTTTTTAAAGTCGGGCAATCAGAAACAAGAAGTCACATAAGTCAACTCATGGCATGAATCTTTAAAAGACGTTATATAGACAGCTTATTAGTAATGAATTAGTAGACTGCTGCAAAAATCTTCTATTCTCGTAGTCAGATAACTGTATCGATTAAATTGATGTCATCTAATTCTAAAAAATTTACGATTCATCAGGTAAGTCCCAAAAACAACTTTATATGTATTTACTTCACCAACACAGATACGAAAGTATACAATGTAATTATTAAAATTTTCTTCAGTTATCCAATAAACAATCAAGACTAATTTGGGATCCATGATTAAACGATCTAGACATTGACCAAATAACGGAAACGAATCAACCATAGTTATCATAAATTTCGATAGAACAATAAGAAGATGGAATTGATCCAAACTCATTGTTTGATCGAGATTCATAGAAGCGACTACCTGTTTTAAATTTCTGAAAAATAGTTATCATACTAAAATAAGACGATACATTTAGAAGAACAATTAAATGACATATTTTAGGCTGAAACTGTTTTGTTTACAGTGATTAACGCTTTGATGATGATTTGTTGATCAAGATTAATTGGTTAAATTATTCATGGATATCGAATTTGTCTACTTAATAAAACTGATCGAACGGGTGTAGGATACAGAACAATGATCTGAACGTTTATTGCAAAAAATTACACGACTATCAAGGGTATAAGATTGCTTCCCACGACGCACTTGTTAGTAATCCGCTCCAGTTATCTTATAAGTGTCTAATACAAATATCTAGAAGGCAACTACTAAGGTTTGATAATTTCTATACTGTTTTAATTCCCCATTTAAATAATAATTGTTAATCATCCCCTTATAAATTCCATCATCGTGATAAAAATTGTCACCATTACATTTATTGACAACTGGGCCACATTTGTTATAGCAAACATAGTGATCGCATTCACTAACGATTGTGATAACAACGGTGATGATGATAATGAAAATAAGTAAAAATCAATAGACTGTTTATTTTCATTGGCTATCTTCATTAATTTAACTGTGTTAAGTTTTTTTAGGTTATTGGAGGTATTCTACAAGAAACCCTGGACTTAGATTTCGTGCTGGTTGACATTCGTCAGCAAAATTTACGTGTAATATTGGATGAGCATGTGCTCCTTGAAATATTCGACCCCGTGTCACCCAGCCTCACGGTCTGAAACTTTACCTAACATCTCAACACAGTCCATGTGATGTTGAGTCACTCAAACTAGTGGTTACGATACACCTTGACCCATAGAGTTTGGACAGCATTAAAAAAAACTAGACAAACATGATACCGCCCTCTACTCAGTGACTAATCAACCGTATTAAAGTTATTTGTACATAGAAATAAAATACTAAAAATATGGGTGGCATTTATCTCAATAAACACAGAAACGTAAACCAACGG